TCCTTTACATTCAAGACCCTTTCAAAAAAAGGGTCCCAGCTATATCGCCTCTTCTCTGCAAGCGCGGAAGACCCCCACAGCCAAAAAATAATTCAATCCCAGACTTTCTTACACACCTGGGTACCCTGGGTGGGAAGAACTTCCTAGGCCTACACTGTCACCTAAGTGGGCTCGATGGTCGCGGCGCGGGAGATCATCTCAACTTCAAGATCAAAACCGGTCAAAGGGAAGTACAATGTCATGGCTGATTCCTGTCTAGAAGAGCAGACTTTTTCGAAGCATAGCCACTTATCTCAATGCAGAACAAGAACCACAGCAGAAGATTAGGGCCACATACGGAGAAGATGTTCTATGCGAAGTCGTAGTTCATGTTAGGGAGGAACCTCACAAAGTGCCAGCCAGAGTATAGAGAGTCAGTGAGTCACTGACAGTTGGCTGTTTTTTTTTTCACACTCATGGTGTTGACGACGGACTGTGCGTCGTGAACAATGAGGAAAAATTTGCGGTGTAGTGTTCGGAGAGTCGGAGAGTGCCATGACACTGAAGGACACTTTCAGTAGACGAAGACGTATGTGAAGTTTGTGAACATGCTTAGCTCCCGCACGTCGGCAGGGACGAAAAAAGTTAATAGACTGTATCAAGTACATTCATGGGTGTAAAGCCCATCCATGGAACAAGAGCACGACAAACGCACGCTTAGGATTGGTAAAACCGTTAACCTATTCCCTCTCTGCGACGGACAGCCAGCATCTGTAGACTTCATGGACACCAGTGCTATCGATGCTGAAATGATCTATAGATCCTAACACACCGTGTTTTGGTTGAATTCCGCAAGTAGAAGAGTGAACAATCAAGTTCTTGGTATTAGTAGACCATTTCGGCAAACACGCAGCATTCATTTCCATACCCTACACAAGTGATGACAGACCTCACTACTCCTGAGTTTTTGCTCATCGAGTCAAGGACAACAGGCACCTTCGACCATAGTTAGTGATAGAGAGAGAGAGGTTAGGTTAAGTGGCAGCAGCTCATGAAAGTTCTATGGATCGCAGTTGACCATGTCCTCATGCCATATATCGCAGGTGCTGCCACTCTCTCATGCTATTTCAGATACACTTTTTGCTCCACGCTCATGAAAGTTATAAGAATAGTCTCCCCAGCTTCCATTGGCAAATGGCAGTCTGCCACTCTCTATATACCCCCTGCTATTTCAGATACACCCCCAAATGGACCCGTTTTGAGAAACACCGCCCCTCTTATGGCAAATGGCAGTCTGCCACTCTCTACATACCTGTCCAGCTCTTTCCTCATAGATATACCCCCTGCTATTTCAGATATACCCCCCCAAATGAACCCATTTTGAGAAACACCGCCCCTGCAGGATGAACACTCCCGATCCCATGATCAACAAGCATCTGCAAATATAAGAACAGACTATCACACACACACACACACACACACACAAAAAAAAAAAAAAAGGGGGGGGGGGGGG